TTGAGTCAGACGGGTTTTTTCTAGATTACAAACTGCAGCCCACAGACAAACTGTATATCCCAATGTGCCTCTCCCAGTCAACACAATACCCTTCTGTTCAGGCATTTGGGATCAAAAGGGATACACGTCTGCCAGAAGCTCTCTGCAGAAACAGAGGCATGTCAGAGATTAAGTGGCCAAGGATAATACTGTGGGTCTAAGGTCGATGTAAGTCCTTTGAAGCTGCTGCACAGCATTGTAACATGCTTATGTGCTTGGCAGTTCTTTTCCTATCCTATGATATCTCCCTTTCCTTTGCTAACAACACTGACAGCAAAACCCAAATGTAGAAACACGATAGCAACAAGACAGCAATGCTCAGGTTTGTGTGCTCCTTATTTTAAGAAAACACCATGACTTTTTGGCTATTGTGGAGATTATGTACATCAAAACACTTATTTACCAAGCTGAAGCTGAGCAGTGGGGGCAGAGCTTGATGTGTTAAGAGCCAGGACTAAGGTTAGAATAAAGAAAAAGGAAACAAAAATACTGATGTAACCATAATTATTTGTCAGCACATGAAATTTTCTGCTTACATAGCAGGGATTCTTACATCCTAAATCTCAGGGGATGTGGAAAGTAGCAGAAAAATGTCAACTCTTGTCTGTCAACAATACCCAGGTTTTCCCTTGTGCCTCAAATATTACTGCCTAAGTCAAGCTGATGGTGGCACTGATTTAGTGGAAACAATATTGATGAGAGAAGCTAAAATTAACAACTATATTCCCCTTTAATCAGCCATGTTAATAACTGACATGAATGGAGTTCTGTCTGGTCATAAAAGCAAGAAACCACAGCCCTGAAGCTGCTGGCAAGAAGAGGAAGGAGAGTGTCTGAGGGACAGGATTGCCTAGCCTGCCACTTGTCTCCTGAGCCACCAGGAGAGTGCATTTACCACTCATTGCCCATGGACCTGAAACCTGGATACTTCTCACATTGACAAAAAATATTAAATAAGTAGACCACTCATCTTTTGAGAGGATAAAGCCTGGGCATAACAGTGCATTCTTCATCATTAGCAGTTTTAAGTGTAAAACAGGAGCCAATGTCCCAGCTGGCAGTAGGACAGTTGCAACAATGGGACCTTTGCTGGGGAAAGGCAGCAGAACCACACCATGAAGCCACCAGAGAGTTCAGGGAGTGAGAAACTTGGTTCCTGTGCCCCCCTGTTTTGCTGGGTTTTCGGCATTACCCACAGCACGTGCCATTTAACCTCGCAGTGCCTCAGCTCCTCCATCTAGGAAGTGAGGAGCGCTAGGATTCCCCTACCTCATAAGGTGCTAAGGGGCTCAGCAGGCTTGGATAGCACGTGTGTGGGGCATGCCTATGATTTCTGAGCAGGTCACCCAGTGGGAATCCAATTTTACCAGTGAGTTCTTCAAATGCATCCTCTGAACCAGTCCAGCTGGAAAAAAGCAGGCATCTCTCCTGTCTTATGATGCTATTACAACTCCCCTGCATTACAATGATATTAAACCAGGGGTAAGTGCAGACAAACAGCCCAAAAGTGAGCGCTGTTCATAAATAATGCCTCCTGGCATACAAAACCCAGGAGGTTCTAGTGCATTACTTTGCCATTTCTTTTTACTATACCTCCTGTTCCCTTAGAAGTTATGTAATGGCAAAGATGTCCTTTAGGTCCTATCTTCTTCATCCTAGCATTCCATAGTTCTAATGTCTAACAGGCATCTTTTGGAGATTTTTGTTATTTTATCTGCACGTGTACATAACTGATGGAAATAGATGTCTGCTTTTGTCAGCCTATAAAACCATCAAGAGGGTGTTTTTCCACTAAAGCTAAAAAAATCCCTCCTCTATCTTAGGCATTTCTTAAACTCCTTATTAACTGAAACAGCAAATTAAAAGTATAGATGCAAATAAAGCCAAGTCTTCTCCTTCAGTCAGCATTGTGAATTGTATTCTTCTGTTTATTCAGAGGAGACTGGCTAGGCATGAAGTTAGAACAAATATTTGAAGTGTGGTATTGGCAACGTATTTCACCTTTGATTTCTCTTGGATTACAAGGGACTCTGTGAGCATTGTCTAACTTCCAGTTGCCAGGTCCCAAAACCAGTGTTTTGAGAGAGAGTGCCTGAAGCTGGGCTCTGAATGCTGTTTGATGGATGCAACCCAATTCTCTGAAACACTGAGCAGATGGACAATGAACCTACTGAAGGAGAGGATTTTCAGAAGTACACAGGAGATTTGGGCAAATTGAGGTCACTGATGAAAATGCCTTCTCTGGACAACTTGGTCCAATTGCAAATATTGGCTCTGCTCATTCTAGGTCTGGCTCCATTGTAATTTTACTTCTAACCAAATCATGACTTTGAGAAAAAGTAACTATATAGATATATGCACATATGTATAATGTGTGTTCAAGCATAATGTATAACAAAGGAAGACACTGGGATTTGCACCTATGTTCAATAGTGTCCATATGTGAAATTGTAATATATAGTATGTAAATTACCATTTATTATGCCCAGAAAACTTACTATGTTGAATGGAAAAAAGGCTCTTATTGTCAGTCAGGGGCCAAGAAATGAGCCAAGAAATACAGGTTCTCTTACATTATTTTTCTGAAAAAGGAGGTGTTGAGAAGATACAAGCACTGCTGATGCTAAACTTGTGCAGTGGGCACAATCCACTGTGCTGATTGCTGTAATCAAACGTAAAAAATAAAATAACATTGAAAGGATGGGAAAGAGTCAACTTCATGGTGTGAACTTTAAAACATGATTTTAATTCTGTTTGGAAATCTGTTGCCTGTAATCTGATACCCAGGGGCAAAGGATTTGAATAAACACCTCATTTGTAATTGATTTCAAGTAAAAAACATTTCAAAAGGTGGGAGAACTGTAGTGGAAGCATGTGAGTACTTTGAAGTATGCAAATCTCTTTGGGAAAAGGGAGCTGTTAATCACAGTTATAAGCTATGGAGACCTTTTGTGAAAACTGCAACTCACAACTGAAGAAAGTTTAATAATTGCTTTACAGTTAATGGCATATTTTCAAAAGAGCAAGTGGCAGGTATGTATCTCAATCTCCACCTGACTACGAATGAGAACTTCTCATTTAATTTCTGCTTTGTGCCTTTGAAAACATTGTCTCCACACTTCCCAATGGAAGATAAAACTGCTCTGAGGTCCCAGCTGCCAGATCTCAGCTATTATCTCTAATGCAGACTTATGGAACTAAAATAAATGTGCATGGGTGAAGCTGATGCCTGAACCACTGAATAATGGTTATTGTCTTTCAAATTTCCACAGTGGAGAGATTACAGCAAGGTACAGCCTAACTAAGTGAGATACTGCCCTGCTGAAATGTAAAAGAGCGGAAAATTTATTTAAAAACCAGCAAGAATTTAGCACTATTAAAATTAAAATGTAATCCAGCCTCACATTAAGCTGATTAATTGCTTTGCACAAATGACATTTGAAATAATGTATCAGGGTCATTACTTTCCTGGTCAGAGGAATTATCATTTCAGATGAAGAGAGAAGGGAAATTGCGCACAAGCGCGGAAAAGGCGCCGCTCCTGGCATCCAGCTCTTGTGGAAGGACAGGAGCGACTGCCAGGGTGAGCAGGGTCTGCTGTGGAGGCAAGGCTGAGGGGAACCAAGGTACTCAGTGCCTGGGAATCACACATGACATGTGGCACTCCTTGATTTGGGCATGAGAAGATTATCCTCTACCAGAAGGGGTGGGATCCCCAGCAGCTGCAAGGCAGTCATGAGAGGTGGTGCAGTGCAGGTGGTGTAGCTGTTTTGGCCAGAGGTTTGGGCTCAGTTCTGGCCATGTGTGTCATCAGCTGGTCCTTGGTCAGGGTCCATGTGCCCGTGGCAGCCACGGGCAAAGTCCCCTCCATACCAAGACAGAGAGACCCAAATACGCCCAGCTCCTGGTGTAGCCCCACCTCTCGGCTCATCCTGCAGCACTGAAGAGATGGGGACTGCATGGCAGGGAATGTGTGCCCAGCCCTCTCTTTGCAAGGCAGCCAAGGATCAGGACAGTCCTGCACTGCACAGTCCCCAGAGAAAACTGCAAAGCCCTTAGCAGATATTTTGACACGCAATTTTTAATATTTCCTCCCTTTAAAAAAATGTTGAAGACTCCTTTTGGCCAGTTGTCCAAATTGGACTTCTTTCACAAGTCTTTTAGGGGTCTCTGAGGGTGTGTACGTGCACTTGCAACCATAGAAATTAGCTTAGGAGAAATGCCTGGCAACTCAACCCATGCAAAATGCATATAAATGATGTGGAAAAAAAGAAGGAAAGATTTTACTGCTCTACTTGTCTTGCAGATTTATCAAAGAAAATTGTGTGTTTAGCTTAGAGGGAATTCAGAGCGGGAAATGAAAGGACAAGTTAATTGTAACGACAGTTTGAATTACTTGAACAAATATATTTTGGGAAACGGGACAGAACATTAGAGCTGTAAAACTCTCTAGCCTCCTGGCTCTTTCTATTTTATCTCGATTTTTAATAGGGTCCAAATTAATTTCAACCATGAAATTTTAAACCTTTCTTATTAAGGTGCATGATGACCATATATTTATTTTGTACAGAAGGGAGGAGACCTTCAGTGCTCTGCACAAATTTTAATTGCAGCAGCCTCCAAGTGAAAATGCTAATCATTTTGCATCTAGAGTTTCAGGAGAGCTGCCATTGCACAAAACAGGAAAGTCAGAGTTATTTACCTGTTGGGCAGGGACACAAGATGCTCTCCAAGGACCTGCACAGGAGATCCTATCGTTTGCACCAGATAGAGGCTTTGACATTTAACACCTATTGCTGGGTGCTCAGGTGTGTTGGGGGGGTGGGACTTTGTAAGACTCTCTGAAGAGCAAAGAAAAGGAAACTCCTGCTTGGCCAGACCTGGAGGCACTAACCACCTAGGTGGTCATCACTCTAACCACAGCCCCCATCCGTGATGGCGCCATGGATGCAGACACTCACCCTGGGGAAGGTGACAAGGGACGTTTCTTCAGGGCTTGGTCCAAGTTCTGTGCCTCTGTGAGATACTTTCTTCATGGGGTCAGTGTCCCCTTGCCCCAAAGGTCTCTGAGGTGCTCCCAGGGTAGTGCACTGAAAGAAGTTTCTCTTATTCTGAGGGTGAGGTTGGGCTCTCTCTGTGTGTTCCATCCATGAGGGAGGTTGCTGCTCAGTCTGAAAAGGTGGTATCTGTTTGCAGGATCTTCCTGCCAGTTTCCTGCTGCCTCAGACCTTCCTTTCATCCCAGTGGTGACCTAGGAGAGGAAGAGGAGGAGGAGCTCTTGCTTCTAAGGGCTCCTTTGTTTTGCAGAAGGGGTGGTGTATGACACAGAAGGCAAATGAAAGGATGGAAATGGGAAAATATTGCTGATTACTTGGGATCAAATGATCTGTCCCAGGCTCTTGGGCACTGTGTGCCATAAATGACAGAGAAGATGCAATTCAATTTTGAACTTAGCTCCTAAATGGAAATGGCACTTGCTGAGCTGCCATGAGCTGTCACCACCACTCACACAGTGAGGCTGGGGCAGGAGCTCTGCGTGTGTGGTTCTATGCCTCATTAACCTCTTCAGTAATGCCTGGAACTGTCTGGTGGTGATGGTACCCAGCAGTGATGCTGCCCAGGAACAGAGCTGCCCATCAGCTTCCTTTTCCCCATGCTCAGTCTCCCACAGAAGGGCTCTCCCCTTCTCTTACCCACCCTCCTGCAGATGCAGCTATGCAGTGCTTAGCAGGACATGGCTTTCTTTAAAAAGAAGCAAAAGTAGGGAAAGAGGAAAGAAGAATTAAAATGTCCTCCCCTCCAAATGAAAGTATTTTTGTGACTGTGTCAAAGGCAGTATTTTGCCAAGCCATTAGCTACTCCTTGGTTCTCCAGCTTTTCTTTAATCACAGCTGTAACGTTTATGCTTTCTCCTCCTCAGTTCTCTGGCAGCTGACGTAAATATTACAGAATGTCAGTATTCTTCCCACGTCTCAGCTGGTGACAAAAGCCATGAAAATAAGTGACTAACAGCTCCAGTGCAAAACCTTTGTGCTGGTGCTCTGCCAAGGGAAGGGACCATTGAGGCTGCTTCACAAATCTAAACTCTGTAAGGCTTCCTTACTATGTGAATCCAGTTAGTTGAAGCAATTTAATTGGGAAGAGGTAAAACAGCCTTGTAAAAATAACAAAAATTAAAATTTGTTTACTCAGAAAATACTCAGAAAGAAGTCCTAGCCTTACTTACACTTCAGGTCTCAGTTAAGGCTGTGTGGATGCACAACACACAATGGTGAGAGGAGTCATGGCCTGGCCAGATGGTGGGTGTAGATCCAGGATGCAGCCCACAGAAGACAACCCAGGACTGGAGCAGCCACCTAGGGTGAAGCTTAAACCCAGAGTTTCACTCCTCAATCACTCTAATCCATGCTGCTAAACTGCCACCTAAACTATAAAATGCTTGCAGTTGCTTCCAGGCACATCCATTTCCAAGCTCGAGGCTGCCCCAAAACTTCATAGCCAGTCCAAGGCATGTGTCTGGGCTCTGGCACAGCCTGTACAGGGCAGAATGCCTCAATGTTAATATCTCATAAGCCTCTAGGTTCAGCACTGTGGTGTTAAATTGCCCCTGGTGTCACTTCCCAGCTGCCTCCCTGAACCTGGAGGTCCCTCAACACCCCAAGCACCACACCCATCTCCCATCCCAGCCTCCCCACCTTCTGCTGTCAGTAGAGCAGCTCATGGAGTCAAAGACTTCACATGCACTTGCTACCAAGCAGGCACCCCTACAACTGACAGGAGATCAGGAGTCACCCAGAAACAAGATGGAGAGAGAAAGAGGCTGAAAAATGTTTGTCCATGATCAGGAAGAGCAAGGAGGGTGAAGCCGCTGAGCTGGGCTCCCTGAGTGCTTGGGTGGAGTGCGCACACTTGGCACCAGGGCTCAGTGTGTGCCAGGTCTCAGGCACAGCACAGAGAGGCTCAACACACCTCCAGCACTGAAACCTTTCTGGCCAGGGGATGAGAGGCCTGGGGCATGTCCCCACCACCAAGACAAGGTTGCCTTGCCAAGTGCTGCCACAACAGGCAGGCCAAAGGGGGCTGGGGGGACAACCAGGCAGCCGAGGCTCCAGTGCTTGAAGGCACCATTGGCCACATTTAAACCATTTCTGGCAAGTGCTTGTGCACACTGCTCTTAAAACCTGCAATGCCACAGCCTCCCCAGGGAGCTTCTACCAGTGGTTAACCAGCCTGAAAATTAGGAAGCATTCACTGGTAGCCCAGCTGAATCTCCCTTGCTGGGTCAGTTAAGCCTGTGGGTATGACGTAAAGTTTATGTACAGTTTATGTACCTAAATTTGTGCAGATACATCTCGTGTTTCCCCTGGTCTTCACTACCCTGGACTAAGTGACCTCCACTTTGTCTGAGATCTTCATCAGAGTTTCGCAGTTTGTTTACAGAAAAATCTCACAACAGCCTTACTTCAATCACAGAATGGTTTGGGTTGGAAGGGACCTTAAGGACCATCTTGTTCCAACTCCCCTGCCATGGGCAGGACATTTCCCACTCGATCAGGTCACTCAAAGCCCCATCCAACCTGGCCTTGAACATCTACAGGGCTGGGGCATCCACAGCTTCTCTGGGCAACCTGTTCCAGTGCCTCACCACTCTTACAGTAAAGAATTTTTTCCTAATGTCTAATCTAAACCTACCAACTGTCCATTTAAAACTGGTTCCCCTTGTCCTATTGCTATCAAGATATACAAGCCCTGCTTGCATCCACCATTTCCTTCTCCAGAACTGGCATGATTTGATATTGGAATTTGATTTTTTTTTTCTTTGTGTGTGTATATGTTTTTCATCTATTTCATTAAATGTTTCATTATACTGCAGAGAGGTGATAACTCTTTCTTGAACAACAGTCCTGGCTTTTCCATAACACCTGTTAAGATTATCTGGTAGCCCAGAAGTGACTCATTTTGCACATCTAAAAAAATGAAACCTGGCAGAATAAACCAATGTCCTGACCAGCAATGAACTCATTCATTCCATAAATTATTAGAAGGGCTTTTCCATGCCTACATCATTGCTGCAAATGTTGGTTCCTGGCATGGAGGCAAATAATGCCCCCAGATATAATCCAAAGCAGGACTTTTTACAGACAGGTCCCTTTTATCAGCTGGACTGCTGGTGAGCTGAGGTTACGCCCTGCAGCCAGGCAGTGGGCAGGCAGGAGGATGGCTGAGGCCCTGCCCTGCCCTGCCCTGCCCGGCTGCCCTTGCTCCCCTGCACCAGCACACGCGTGGGCAGACAGGAGGAAAGCTGGGCCACGTGAATGCCTGGGATATGGATAAGTGCATTTTCACATTACATCTAATGTAATAAGTCAGTTAAATGCCCCTAGTCCAGAAAGGGCAGCATGTTAATTAATGGTCGTTACCAGCAGCTGACAGTTGGTTAGCACAGATTAATTCTTAATGAAGAAAAAAACTCTTTATGTAATGTAATGCTTCTGGCTGGGGATCAAGGGTTGCAATCATCCACCCACAGCAGACCTTTAAATCCGGCTTTGTTCCTCTGTGGGAAAAATAGACAAAAAAACCCAAACCCTGCTATTTTTTAAAGGTTATGATTCAGCCAGCGTCACTCAGATTCTAATTCCAGGAGCGCTGAGCTTGTTTCCTAAAGAGTACAATATGTTACACCATGGCCTGCTGATGCAGATGTGGCAGAGGAGGTGGTGTGAGGCAGGAGAAGGGTGCTGTGTGGACCCTGTGCCACAGGGATGTAGAAGATGGCCTTGTGGGCACAGCAGGGCTTTCACAGCTGGGGGGATGGTACTGAGCCCCTGACCTCAGCCACGGGGTTTTAGGGCTGTCCGATGGGTGTTTGTGTCAAAGGACCCTGGAAGGTGCACAGAGCAAGGGTGCAGCTGTACCAGGCTGTGAGATGGGCTGTGAAAAGCAGGAGGTCAAAGGCAGCTTAAGCAGCAGAGGCTTTGGCAGGGGACTGTGCAGCTGCCCACATCCAGGCAGCTGATGCTGTGGTGGATGTGCACACAGAGACTTTCACCCTCACAGCCATCAGGAGGCTCCCAGGACCTTTATTTCCACTTGCAAGGAAGCAAGGCATTCCACTGACTCACTGGTTTTCCTCGCCCTCCCCTGAGATGAGGCCTTAGGTGCTGGCTCCTGGGCTACTCCGCAGGTGTCACCTCCTCTTCAGGCTGTGCCAGTGTCACCCTCGCAGAGGGAACTTGCAGTGATGCTTGCACCCACCCCAGCAGAGGGTCTGAGATATTCTGCCAAAGTCATGGACCAAAAGCTCAACTTACTGAAAAGCTAAATCCCCTGGAGTACCAATAAATCGTATCAATAACTGCCAGTTAAAAAGCAAGATCACTATCATTTACCCTGTGACCTAAGGATATGGATACAATAAAACTGCTTCACATGCAGAAAGGTAATTTGTACTTGTGAGGTCTGTTTTTTTACTACATCTAGTTTTATTCATTATCTGATAAGAATCTTCCTACTAATTTACTGATGTTCTGAGGAATTTTACAATAAATGTCTTAAAGCAAGAATTATTCCATTTTACTTGAGCATCTTCTCTTTTACAGAACACTGACTTACACAAAATAAATGTGCATAAAGCATGAGAAGCTCCACAGCTTGTGACACATGAACAGGAGAAGGCAAGGGAGACCTGTATCTCCTGAACAGCAGGGATGCTCAGCAGGTAAAATGGGATCTCTCAGATCCTGGGGTTTTCTTTCATCTCTCTTCCATTTCACCTTGCATTTCTGCAGTGATGCCAAGCTGCAGAAAGCAGATTAAATCTGTGAGAAGTGAGAGAACAAAGTAAGTTCTGTGCAGGCAAAGGACTTCAAACAGGAGAAAGGCTGGTGGCAGAGATACCGTCATAGGTAGAGACTTCAAAAGAGGCGCAGCAGGTGATTGAATTTGCAGCTGAGCAGCGTGGCCAGAGTGAGGTAGGCGTGAACAAGGCTGAACTCTGCAGATTTCTTGTTAAAAGGCTCCTTAGAGATTTTGCCATTTATGTACCGTCATGTTGAGGGGACCTGGAAGAGCCCTGTTCTCATGTCTGGGAGTGTGATGTTGCCCCGAGGCCATCTCCCCAGCTCCTGAGGATGGGAGGACAGGGGCATCACCACTGAGGGACTGTACTTCCAGCGCAACAGCCCGGCCAGCAGCACCCCCAAACTGCTCTGCAGCTTAAGCTACGCACTGTGGCAGATGAGAGGGGTG